CCATGCTCCTACTCTGGCTACTCTGATTCCAGTTACTTCTCAGGGAGCCGAAGGCCTGGAAAACCTCTTCAGCTGATGCACTTTGGGTCTTTAAGGAGGAATTCAATTTCTGCATGAGCCAGTTATAGATTTCCCTCTGGACAGGTACAGGGTGATGAAAGATGTTACATGCGTGGAAGTCAATTGATGCCAGACTTTTGTGACTTAAATTTAACACTTGGCCCTTTCGAGAGCCACCGCCAGGCCTTTGGGTCTTCCGGGAGCCCAAACTGCCATATCCCCACCCTCCACTTCCCCTCACTACCCTTACAGGCCACTGGTACCACAACAAAAATTAACATTATCTTCTAATACTTTACAAGAAAAAATACCCTTCAGAAGCACTAAGGGATGCTAATAGATTCCCACTTTCATTGCTAGGAGTTCAAGTTAGTTGTTTTTCCAAATCCTAAAGAGTTAAGTCCAGCAGCATTCGTGGTCACAGAGGCATCGTGCTGATGTCCCTCCTGAAGATCCAAGAGACGGCGCTGGGGAAACTTGGCCACGAAGCCGACTGACTGTCACAGACCGTCCCTGCCCTGCAGGTTGGAGACTGCGAGCTCGGCCTTCATCTCGCAGCAGGTACTGCCCCGCCGCGCCAGCCGTGCCAGCCGGCTGCGGAGGCCCTTCCCTCCGATAAAGCAGCAGTATTGAGAGTGTCAAAAGAAAGAATCGGCCCAGAGCAACACGTGCCTCCTTCTGAGGTGAGCGCAGCGGCCTCTGGGGAAGAGGACAGTTGGCTTTCACTTTCTCAGCACCGTGGAGAGCACCACTTTGTCTCTTCAGCCCATCCTGTCACCTGCAGAGAGGCTGGAGCCTTCTCTGTGGCTCTCACAGCAGCCCTACAAGCTGCCTCAGAAGAGCAACCTTCCCCAGCTGGTGCCTCCTGAGACCCTGCTACAGTGCCCCAGCCACTTTGCGTCCTAGCGGAAGTGGGAGTGGGTGACTCAGAGCGGCCTCCCCGCACACGCCAGGGTGGTGACGCCAGTAGCTCCAGACAACGTAGGTCAAATGGACACCAGCCTTCAGGGAGCAGGGACTGTGTCGTCTCTGCCCAGCTCCACCTCAGAGGTGTCCGTGCACCTCTGCTTACCCCGGCACTCTCCCTCCCACTCGACCGCAGCAAGACCTGTTCTCAGAAGTCACAGGCCACATCGCACATACGTATCTCCTCGGGTTTTCCTCTTGCCACTGGACTGAAGGAAGAGTTTTCTATAAGACTCCGGGGTGAAGGGGTTAATGTTGACTAGTGCCGAGGAGGCCATCTCATCTGGGAAGGAGACAGGCGTGAGTCTTAGGTGCTTGGCGCCTTTGGGGGGAAGCTTCCCTGTAGAAGTCACCGACTCGCTCGCCAGGCCCTGAGGAGAAGAGGGGTCAAAGCCTTCGTCTCAGTTGGTGAGCCCAAGAGTCACTGCTGAAGGGCCTTCAGGCCATCTGGCGCATCTTAACTGGGCCGCTTATGAAAAATACAGGTGCTCAGTGTCCTGTGGATTTCTGATCCTGGGATCACCACAGGAATCTGCTTTAAGCTCTGCCTCCTTCCCTGGGGCCATTCTGGTAGCAGCATATAACCAGCCATTTTAGTCCCACCTCCAGCTTCTAGAGACACAACTCAGACAAATGAAAGTAACTCTAGAAGTCCCAGTCCTTAAGTTCTCAGGGTTTTTGTTTCTCCCCCATTATCCAACCAGATATTTGCTTTGGTGCTTACCCCCCAGCAGCTGTCAGTCTGGGCACCCAGGGTGGCACCTGAGAATCCCAGCTCTTAGGGAATGTATGTGTCAGCAATTCATCAAGGTTTCAGAAATAATCCCTTTGTGAGGGAAAGATTTCAAAGACACCCTAAACATGGAAGAAGGCGTTTCTAATGCCACTGCAGATGGCACCCCAAATAAGAAACGATTCATGCAGTAGTTTGGTAAAAGAAATTAAAAACTACTACTCTAAGCCCTTAAGATTCGGGGCTTTGCAGCGGCCATTAGCAGTATGCCTCTGAGCAGCAAAGTGGGCAGGACTTGCCATCCCCGGGTACAGGAAGAGAACAGACCTAACCTTCGCCATTAGCAGTATGCCTCTGAGCAGCAAAGTGGGCAGGACTTGCCATCCCCGGGTACAGGAAGAGAACAGACCTAACCTTCGCCATTAGCAGTATGCCTCTGAGCAGCAAAGTGGGCAGGACTTGCCATCCCCGGGTACAGGAAGAGAACAGACCTAACCTTCGCCAGCGCTAAGCCAGGGGGAAGTCAAAGACAAAGCATGCGGAGGAGACAGCAGCGGCCATTATGACCTCGGTGTGCGGATTACCTGTGCAGGCCTTTCAGGAGCACAGCGGGGCCTCGGGACCATGGGTTGGGGTGCAGATAAGCCTGCCCTGAGGCTGTCTCTCGGAAGGCACCATTCGGCCTGGAAGCCAGTTAGTCCTCTGGTGCTCGAGTCCTTTCTCCAACCTTCTAACCTTCTACAGGTGGTTGTCAACCGGACCCCATGCACATAGCCTCGGGGACAGCCCCCCTTCCCAAGGAGCACGGCTGTCTCAAGATAATATGCCCGGAAGTCTGACTCTGCCCTTTGCCCTGGGCCACACTGAACTCTGCCGGGCCTGCTTCCCTGGCATCCGTGCCTGTGGCGTAGCATGCCAGGTACCGTGTGCGGGACCCTGACCCTGCCTGGACACCCTCCATCAGGTGTGCTTTCCCAGTTTGCCATTCCAGGCCCCCCACCCCAGGGTCCATTCTGTGCTTGCCCCTGAAATCTTGGCATTTCCAGGTTCCCTACCTTGGGTCACTTTTCTTCTTACTCTGCACATAGACACCATGAATTTATTCACCTGTGGCTTCAAAAACATCTTCAACACTGAAGACACAGCTCCGCTTTCTCCAAACCTGCATTATCCTCTGGCATCACCCTATCTCAATTCAAGGTTCCAGCTACGCGAGAAGCTCCGTGGTCCTCCTGGATCCCCCTGTACCCTCAGCCCCTCCAACAAGCCCACTGCCAACTCCTCAGTGGACTTCACGATGCCCCTGGCCACAGCAGTCTTCCTTCAGGCCTTTCCGCTCTCTCAGGCACACTGAATTCTGCCCTGCCTTGGCTCCCTCCAGCCACCCTGTGAAGCCCATGACTTCTCCCAGATGCCCCTGCTCAGACAGCTTGATGCTCTCTCCACACTTGCAAGTAAGCTCTCGGTCTAGCCACTGACAGCTCGCAGCTTTCCAGAGGGACACTGTCCTCCCCGGTGACTGGGTGGGCCTTCCCCCCTCGCTTTGCGTCCTCGATCCTGTCCCCCATCAGGCAAACTCCAACTCAGTCATCAACACTGCTGTCAAAAATGACTTTCTTTGGAAAGGGTTCCCTAATATCTTGGACTTAATTCCCAATTTTTTCTCAGTATACGTTATCTGAACTTCATTGTTTCAAGTGTTTTTGCTGCGTCTTTATTCATTTTGCAGACACTGTTTGAAGAAGTGGGTGGGTGTGCCAGCAGGCCAGGGCCAGAAGACCGCCAGCCAGACCTTTAGGTCTCTGCCCTCTGTGTCGGGGCTTTGGTAGAGATTTAAACGATGAAATACACGCCATGCTGTTTTGCTCAGAGCTGCCGTCTCTCTGCCTCTGACTTCCATGTACCAAAACCACATGAGCTTCCATGGACTTTCCTGCATTTTCTTCCCCAAGACACCCCAGGAAGCACCTGCCAGAGGAATCTGAACTCTTTTGAAGCCCCTATTGCAACATCTATAGACACTTTCTCTCTGCTGGACTGTAAACTCTGAGCGTCAAGACTTGCCCGCAGTTCTGTCTCAAAAATGAATCAGTCGGTCATGGAAACATTGAAAAAGCAGTTCTGTCTCAAAAATGAATCAGTCGGTCATGGAAACATTGAAAAAGCCACAGAGGACATGTGAGCTAATTGGTTTGCCTGCAGTTCAGCCAGAGCTTAGTATTTCCTGCTCCAGGCGGTGCCCAAACTCAGCCGGTCCTAAGGAGACCAGTGACAGAGCTGACCACAGAAGGCAACAGGAAACCTGCGGAGCCACTGAAAACCGGGCCTGGGCCTGCACAGCAGGACACAGCCTCCCTGCCCCAGCTTTTTTTTTTTTAAAGACTTATTTATGCATACAAGAACTGGGGTACAGGCCAGAGGTGAGAGGACTCAGTAAGTTCAGAGTGGGGAGCATTACAGGCAGAGTGCCTGAAGTACACTGCTGAGGGGAGCAGCCGGCTGGGCAGGAGAGGTCTGCTGCGCCCTGTGGGTCAGCTCCCTAGCCGGGGATGCAACTTGTGCTGCAGTGGCTGCAGATAGTTTCACAGTGCTGCGCTCCAACTCGTGGTGCCACCAGGGAGGGCCCCCACCCCAGCTTTACCAGTGAGGACCATGCCCACAGAGAGGGTGGCTACTCTGCCTACTTGTCATGAGCTACTAAGAAGTTGTCAGTAAGTCACCCCCTTGCTCACATGCCACAGAAAAGCATGCCCTTCTCTGGACCAAAGAGGGGAGATGACTTAATCTGAGAAGAGAGAGACATTCCAGGGTGGAAGGAAATATCAGTAAATTAGTCACATAAAAATAGAGCCTTGGAAAGAACAGGAGACTAAGCAGCCCCAGCACCTGGCTGGCTCCTGCCCAGCGAGTGGCCCCATCTGACCCTGCCCAACCCAGCACTGGTCCTGTGGAGAGGACTGGACGCCTGCACTTGGGGCCTGCACGGACAGCGGTTGGCATCCATGCGTTGAGGAGGCCGCTGTCACAACCAGACATTTAATTCTATCTGCTTTCTGGCGTTTTTAACTTCATTTTCACCCAAAAAATGTACTGGGGTGTCCACTCGCCATATAGAGCCTGTGAGGCAAGTCTGGCCTCTCTGTCAGCCCAGCCTACCGCCTCCCCACACCTCACCTTGGGAGTGAAGGGGCTGTCGCAGGGGCGCGGCTGGCTCCATTTGTCGGGCGGAGCAGGCGTCTCTGGACATTTGACAGAGCCCGACTCCGGGGTCTGAGGACATTGCTCGGGACTCGCTGTGGCCTGCGATGCGTGGGGATCCCCTGCGTGACTGAGGCGCGTCCTGGGAGGGGTAAGCTTGGTCTCTGGGCCCTCGAGGGCAGGCCTCCCCGGGGTCTGGCCCTGGGCTTCCTGCGGCCCTTCATCCTCACTCTCTTCTTCGCAGCAGGAGAAGTTTAGTTTCTGCTTCAGGTCCACGTTGATGCCGCTGTCATCCATCTCAGCCAGAGAGCTGACTGCCGGGCAGCGAAGCCCTCGGAGGGGAGGCCCTAGAGCTGCAGGAGGAAGGCGGAGAGGAGAGGAGAGGAGAGGAGAGGCGGGGTGGCAGCCCCGCGCCTCAGCTCGCCCTCCCCCGCCTCTGAGCTGGGGGAGGCGCTGGTGGTGTCTCCCTGAAGTAGCGCCTCTGGGAGACCTCAGCTTATCCCTATTTCCATTCTGATTAAAGAAAGCTCCAGCGACCCTCTGAGCAATTAAACCCAATTCATGCACAGGACTCTTCTGGGTATCCCACAGCGGCTCCGAGAACGGCGCGCCATCAAACACCGGCGAGCTAGCTGGACTCCTTCCATTGAGCTGGCTTTAAGAACACCCGTTAGCCAACTTGGGAACAAGCTCATTACTGGGAAGAAATCCTTCGCATTCTTTTACATTCAGGCCTTCTCTCTTCCACGCCCCCGCCCACCCGGCTTACTAGCATCACCTGCCCGCCCCCAGCCATCCCCTTAGAGGGCCTCCACCTCGCCGAGGCTGGCCGCATTCCCCAACCGAGGCGCGCCGCTGGCCGGCCGCACACCTGCCCTCGTTCAGGCGCCCACACACCCAACTTGCCCCCAGTATTAGCAAGTAAAGCTGCTAGGGAATGGAACAAATTTTTGAACTGACAATTTCGCGGAAGCACGAAATTGGCGATCACTTTGCCCCCGGGATGCCTTAATTGGCAAGATGTTTTCTCACTATTTAGGGATCTTAAACTTACATTCTTCAGTTTCTCAGCGAGGCTTCCATGGGAAGGGTAAAATACTCCGAAGAAAGCGTAAAAAGCCGCCGGCCTCCCTTGAGAGGCTAACTAGGACCCGCACCCTACCCACCTTGGGGGAGACGCAGGAAGTGCCGGAAGCGAGGAATTATTTACATGATAAACGTGGACCCCGAGCGGGCGCTGGGAGACAGCTCTGGTTCCCCTCCCCGCGGGGTCTTGGTACCCTTCACCGCGCGCGCCCTCCATCCCGTGCTCCTCTGCCCCTCGCCCATGGCCAACCTGATTCCACGAGGATGTTGGTCCAGATGGGAGCTAAGTGGGGGACGGGAGGGCAGTTTTTCAGCGAAAGCCCCCCGAGCTCCAGCTCCAGGCGCAGCCAACACCCTCTCTGCCCGCCGCTCCCGCCCCGCCCACACGCGCTCCCAACTTTTCCTTGCGGGTGGGACGCGGCTCCCAGGCGCGTGGGCTCCCGGAGCACCGCGGGGGAGACTCGGCTGCCCGCACAGCCAGGGAACCGGACCAGGCATCCGCCGGGAAGCAAGAGCGCCCAGCGCGGCCCCGGGCCCGGAGCGAGTCCCGTTTGCACCGCAGGTCACGTGTTTCAGCCCTCTGCCTGAGCCCCGCCAGGCGATTCTTGCTCTGCTCGCCAGCCTGGCGGGGCTGCTTCCCAGCCCTGCGTGAACCTACAGGGGTGGCCCGGGTGTGGGGGCGCCAGCCCTGCCTGCCCTGTTCACAGTTTAGACCTCTTTGGTGCCAGAAATTTCTCTCGGCAACTGCATCCGCTTTCTCGCGTTGATTATGGCTCAGGATTTACGGGAAAGACCTCCCGATCTGGAAGACAGTAATGACCTTGATGGCCCCCGGGGTGCCTGAGGCTGGGAGGGTTTGCACATTTTGCCTCTGGCCCACAGCCTCTGTTTGGCACTATTTTACTCTTTGTTCTTAATCTCTTCATATTTTGAACGGGTAATTGGATTAATCAGGCATTTATGCCAGGAGCCTCTGGCGATCACCTGTGGCCTCGATCGCTCCCCTGTTACCGCAGAAGGGCGTGGGCGTGGGGCACGGGTGTCTCATTGTGGACACCTGGGGCATGGTGGGCATGCAGGTGTCAGTGTACACACCTGAGCCTAGAGGCTGGGCTGAAAGAGGACAGGAGGCATGAGGTCAGACCACGGAGCGAGGCTATAGAGCGAAGCCAGAGAGAGCCCAGAGATGGAGCGAGATTGGGGTTGGGGCAGGGAGCCTCCCTGGTGGCCTCCTCGGAGGTGCAGGGGTTAAGTCTTAACTTGGCACACAGGTGCCAAGGTGCTAAGTGACTGACTCAAGGTAGGTTTCTAGAGTGACTCAAGTGCATGCTGTTTATTTGTCTAGCGCCTGCCCCCACTCCTGCCGAGCAGCCACATTTTATGAAGCATCAAATTTTTAATTTTCAACTACAGTGCAAATTGAAGAGGCCGAAAAGGGAGAGATATGTTGATTTTTAATAACCTGGTAATTTTTAAATACACACTCAATCTCTACATCATCTCTGACTTGATCTGGGGTATCATTTATTACGTTTTTAACTCAGGTCGCACTAGTGAGCGCCGCGGCTAAGGAGTGACGGGAAGTGCTAGCAGACAGGGCTGCTGATACAGCTGGTGTGGTTTAGTGTATCACATAGGAAGCTGGGAGTCTTGAAGTCAGGGGCCCAGATGCCCTGGAGCCAGTGTCTTCTGGGGGGTGGGGGTGGGGTCTAACTGTGGGATGAATAAGGATGTGGATTCCTTAGCCCATCTTCTTCATCTCCATTCACTTTCTTAATTCCACCCCATCATAGATTCTTGTCCCACAATCTGAACTTCTCTCTGGACCACTAATATTTGCTCTGATTGATTTGATCATGGAGAGAGGTCACCTGTTCTTACCTGGATGGAAGGCTATTCCTGCAGAGAGAATAAAGAGGTTTAGTTCTATAAAGGTATTGATTCTTCTCCAGTCAGATGCAATTCCTGTAGGACTTGAATGAAAGAAAAAAAAAAAAAACCTCACATTTAAAAAATATAAATGGAAAAAAAATCAGCTTTCAAATTTCACCTGAAAAAGTAATTTTCAAAAGGAATAGCTGAGAGCAGAGAAAATTAGCTCCCCTAAAGTCTTTAAAACTTTAAAGTGTGCCTATAATATGCATTTTATATATCTGTATAGTTAATGGACTAGTGTAAAAGCAGGCAGAGCAATAGTGACTATATAGATTAGTAATTGTAGTAACTTCATATTATACTTTGAAAGGGAAATTATAAATAATAGGACAGGAGGAACTGCCAACAAGTGTGTAGTAATGATTGGTTAACTACACAATAAAAAAAGAATTTAGAGCCTACTTCATATCTTTTGTCAGCATAAAGGTTGAATAAATTAGAAAAGTCAAGCTACAAATAATTACATGAAAATAAAAGTAACTGTTAATCAGACTTTTGGGTGGGGAACAGCCTCTGGATGTCAAAACAACATAAGCAATCACAAAAGAGAGACCTTCCTGGTGGTGCAAGGGGTTAAGTCTCAGCACTACCAACCTACCACCAGCCACTGCAATATGAGTTCAATCCCATCCCCAGCCAGGATCCGACCCACATGGCACAGCAGACCTCTTTTGTCTTGTCCTCCGCAGGCTGTTTCAGTCAATCTGGCTGTTCTGCTCCCCACTCTGTCTCTGGTGAATCCTCTTCACCCCTACCCTCACCTCTAATCTGTACCCCAGTTCTTGTATGCATAAAGAAATTTCTGCATTTCATAAAGAAGCATGAAAACATATAATTGCAAGTCATATTAACAAAAATCATGTCAGGCTAACAACTTATACTGAACTCATGCAGATAGCTATCATGAGCACAAGAACCGCAAAGTCTGAGCACAGGCATCATGGACACTGGGCCCTGAGGAGGAAGGACAGGCCACCAACACCTACCCTGAAACCATGACTAGATCCAGTCACAAAACATTTGCTAAGACAAAATCCATTTCATCTGGTAAACTGCAATTAAAAAAGAAAAACTATTTTAAATGGCAACATCTAATTTAACGAGAGTGAGATGAAACTGAAATCCTTGCACACTTGTGAAATGGCAATCTGGCAGTGTAATCAAGGATGCTAACAGCAGTACACTCCTCCGGAGTGTGTCAAGAGGCAGTGGGACGGGCTGGCTGTACTTGGCCTGCCTCTCACTTCTTGTTCTGTATTTCAAGTCTTGCCTCAAGGGGGCTTTCCTGCCAGGCTTTGCGTCTGATGAGAAGGGAGGGCTATCTCCACATCCACTCAGATCTTGTACATAAATATATGGCTTATAATAGGTGTCTCCTGTTAAGAGTGAAATCAGGGGGCCTCCCTTGGGGGTGCAACTGGTTAAAGCGCAGCCACTGCAGCAGGAGTTTGATCCCTGGCTAGGGAGGTGACCCCCATGGCACAGCAGACCTCTCCAGTCTCCCCGCTACTCCCCTCAGCAGTGGATTTCAGTCAATCTGGCTGTTCTGCTCCCTACTCTGTCTCTGGTGAATCCTCGCACCCACCTCCTCACCTCTGGCCTGCACCTCAGTTCTATGCATCAATCAATAAATCTTTTTTAAAAAAGTAAAATCAAAGTAAATACCCCCCAGAAAAAAAACCAAAAAGAATTTAAAAATATATAAAAACAAAGCCAAAAAACAAACAAACGAGCGAACAGTGAAATTGGCACAACTATGAAGGAACAGGTAAGTCAGTTTTCAAGCAGGCTAAGACATCTCTCATAGGACGCAAAGTGTCCACGGTCTGGTGGATAAGAGAAAACATACAAAATGAGTCTTTTTACAGTATGATTTCGAAATGTGAACATTGAAAAGCGATACCAGATCTACACCTGTTACTCGTTTTAAGCTATACTAGTTATTTCTACATGCCACAAAGGGTAAAACATGTCCAAGGCAGAGAGTCTAGTAGGTGACACCTCTAAATCGCCCCCCGAGGGGCAGACAAGGCACCTTGCTTCTGCTAACTGTCAGTGGATGGAAGTAGGAAAAACTTCTCCCTTGGATTTGAACTATACGCCAGTGTTCCTGCTAGTTAGCATTCTGAACACACACCAGCCATGTGACCCAAGGAACCTCAAGCAGAGAATTTCCCTCACAGCAGTATTTGGTTGGTGGTGCCTCCAGATGGTTGATAAAAGCAAACACAAATCTCCTCTGTGAGAACCGCCCTCAGTGGGGCCTGTGGCAATTATTGGGGCCTGTGGCAATTATAAGTCGCCATAGCAGTGTTGACGAGTGAAAAAATTTGTTTTGGAGATTGCTAAAGTAGGAAAGGTAGAATCTTAGTAGGGATCTCCTGTGTGAGATTAAATGATGTTGTATGGTGTATTTGATAGGCATTAACATTTTGCTATTGTAAATATGTTTCTGTAATATAGATCTATTTTACATAATAGATTTATATCAGGCCTATAGTTAGTATTGAGAGAAGTAAAATAATGGTATTTTAAAATTTAGCTATGTGGATTTCTAAGAGCACTTGTTTCAAAATATGACATCATCCCAGGGGTTCTGAATTCCACTGCCTCTTCAGTCCTTCTTGTCCTCCTCACACACTCCCGCCCACCAGCTTCTAAGCACTAAATTCAGTTTCCTGCCCATCCTCCTGTGAAATCCAGAAGACACAGAAGATAAATATGATGGATGAGGATAGAACCTCTTTCAGACTGTGACTATGTGTCATGAGGGTGCCATCACTGTTATGAACATTTTTGAGTGCTTACTATATATCAGATAACCTGCAGGAGACATGTCTGTTTTCATTTGCCTAGTTGACATATATGTGTTGCTTAGTTGACAAGTGACTGTTCTGTATCAAACTGAGAGTCCAAAGCCAGGCACGTGGCTGGTAAGCTGAAATACATATATAATGAAGACTGGAAAAGCTGGCCTCCCCCTGGTGGTTCAAGGGGTTAAAACGAAACACCCTGAAGCTGGCCACAGCCACTGCAGCATGAGTTCGATGCCTGGCCAAGGAGGTGACTCACATGTCACAGCAGACCTCTCCTATCTTGCCTCAGCAGTGTATTTAGGTGAATCTGCCTATCCTACTCCCATCCTCGCCCCCCACCTCTGCACCTCTGGCCTGTACCCTAGTTCTTGTATGCATAAATAATAAGTCTTTAAAAAAAAGACTGGAAAAGCTTGACCATTTGGACCTTTTAGATTTCTGTGTATGTAGCAATTGATTGGAGTGGATAATGAACTTATTTCCTGGTATGTATACAGCTTGAGTGTATTCAGCATGGGCTGCTTGGGTGTCATGGGGCTCACACGAAAGAGCAGGACAAGCAAGTCCCTTGGGGAAGAAAGAAAACATCAGAATTAAGGATTTTCCACAACCCCATCTTGTATTTAGAAATAACATTTTGATTTTTGTTTTCATGGAAGAACTGGGGCATAGTGTTGGCCAAAAGAGCAGGGGTGAGAAGATTCACCAGGGGGTAGCTCCCTCCCTGGCCAGAGGTCCAGCTCAGGCGTATTGGTAGCTAGCTGGCACTGAGATGTAGCTCCTCGCCCACCAGGGAGGCTGAGAAATGAAGTTTTGAATGCCTCAGTGCTCTGTGTAAAATCTGGTGGCTAACTCTTTCAGAGGAGGGTGGGAATGAGAAACGGGGGCCTCTGAAGGAAACCACTAGGGGAGGAGAGAGACTTGTTCAAACTTCCAAGATCCAGGAGGTCCCAGGAGTGAGCTGCCCTCAAGGACCCAGGGGAATAGGGCTACCCAGAGGGAGTTTATAAAGATGCAAGTCCTAGGTGGCCCCCAATAATAGTAGGTTTGAACCCCCCTCCCCCCCCCCCCCACCTTCCCAAGGAGATAACCAGTGACTGCCCAAGCCTACCGCTTCCAGGTCAAGATCGCTGCCTAACGATCAAAAATTTATTTACCCAGCATTCTACCGTAAAGAATAGGGGCTCTTTCTTCGTTGTGTTTAGTTCAACCTTTGCTCCACCTGCCAGCGGGAGGCGAGTGACCAACTTCCACCCTGTGAAGCCCTGAGTCACTGAAATGGGTGGGAGCGCCCAGGCAGAGTCCAGGAACTCTAAGGCTGCCTAGCTCATTCAGGGGGCACATCAGACTGGGTTACACCCCACAACTGCTCTAGACCAAGAGCCAGGCCCACCCCCACCCCTCCTGGGACAGCCAAGACTCCCTTCTCAGGCTTCACTTCCGAGCGCGGCGGTAGCTCTGGCCACACATCCGGGGTTATGTAATTCACATCTGTCATGGTGTGTGCGACCACTGGCTTTCACAAGGAATGGCGCGGAAAAATTCGCGGGGGGACAGTTACCCCTCGGAATCTTAAGCGAGGCGGCACCTGGACCGGGCGCAGGTAGACAGAGCCAGGTGATGAGCGTCCGGTCCTGCACGCAGCCCACAAATGCCCCCGTGTCACCTCGCACCGGGCACGCAGTTCGGCGAAGCCTGCGGGCGAACGCC